ATTTCTTTCCCACCTTCTGTCTTAAAAGTTTAAAACTTGACATAATCCCTAAATGAAATGTAAAAATGTCCACATAATAAATTTTTTGTGATGTGTCAGATAATTTATAAATTCATTCATTTTGTTCAATTTTTCAACACTCACACGTGTATTTTTAAGGTTCAGTTGTATAGTATTCCTATAACCATGTGAAATTCCAGGAAGTCTTTTTTAAGATTTGGTGAAAATTGTTACCCAGTCTCTGACCACTGTCTCAGAGTCTCCGTCTTTTCTCAACCTAACCTGCTTTACATCTTGTTTCATTGTCTCCTTATACTCTCATGGAGCAATGACTAGCATATGTTCACTTAAGCCCTAAAACTACTTCACTATTTCCAATGAATATAATGATCATACCCCAAAAGTAAGAAATACCTGTGCTGTGGCATTTTCCTCTATTTTTCTAGCATGATTTATTTGGTGATTCGATCCACACAAAAAGAAAGTTAAATCCATTAATATTTACCTTTTTGGGGATCTGACGTGTTTGGGAAGAGTTTCGAATTATTGGTGAATTTTAAGGTGGGTTGTACAGTTGTCTTTTCTTGATAGGGGGTAAAGCCAGTGAAGCTATCACCGTTTGTGGTATGCCATCCAGTTTGTTCTGTTATCAAGGGGGTCACAGACTTGGTAGTTGTTTCTGAAGGGAGGATGCCAGCTGTACTGGAACCGTTGTCAGGAGTTTTCATGGTATTACTGGCCAAAGACGAAGTGAACTTTTCTGAAGATACAGCAGGTGTAGCATTGGGATGTGGTGAGACTAGCAAAGGATTGTTATTCACTATAGATGTGTTCCAAGGCAATTTAGAAACAAAGCTATGAATCAAGGGAGGGGTTGTGGTTAATGTGGATGTGGGTCTCGGACTCCCGGAAGAGTTCTCTGTTGACAAGTTACCAGAGAAATCTGTCATTCCATGGACTTTGTTCAATAGATCCAAAAGCGGGGAATGACTTGTGTTGGGATTCGAGGTGTTTCTATTTTCATTATTTGAATTTAAATTTGCTTCACTCTCCAAAGAAGTAGGTTTATTTCCCGTTGGTTTCAAACCTTCTATAATGCTTTGTGTTGTGTTTATGTCTGGATTTTCTTTCCCATGGCTCCCAAATAGTAGCGAACTAAACAAAGTTGAAATCATCAGAATCCTGGCTAAGGTCAACATTGTAGTCTTCTTTGGTATTGGTTTTATTAAATGGGCTCTGAAA